AACACCAATGCATAACTGGACATTTAACAGTCATGCACAGCTAGTTATTTAACACNCCCCATCAAATAAATGTGCCCACAGTTGAAGCAACTCTATTCCTAATTCCAAAAGTAGATTGCTGTTAGGTTTTTTCATGTTAGCCTATCAATGAGGTGAGTATCATTCATTAGTGTCAAACACTATATCCACCGATTAGGCTTAGGCCTATCCTCTATTACTCTGTTTAGTTCATAAATAATAAAAAAAGTTACACTTTAACTTTAATTTTTTAAGTATTGTTTTTATATTTATATAAATATTATTATATAGTAGGCTACTAAAGGTAATCTACCCCTTGAGCGTCGGCCAAGAAAAAATCCAGCTGTTCCGGTTGGAAGGGCTATTTAAACAACTATTCTTATATTATTTTTAATGACATTGGTTGTACGTATTCATTCCCATAATAATAGACAATTTTTTTTAAATAGAAAAACTAAAACAATTTTTTTGAAATAGATGATAATGTGAGAAAATGGACTTATGCATAGTTATCCCCCAAGTTGACAATGAAGTTTAAAAAAATATAATTTTCACGAAAATGGTTGTGGTACATGAATCCACGTAAATATGAAGGCGAAGGGGAAAGATCAACGGGGCTTCTTGTGCCAAACTGTCTTTTCAGTTTATGCTTTCTGAGCATTCACGTTTTCCACATTCTGTGTGTGGACATCCGCGTCATCTGGATAAAAAAAAATAATTGTTGTCTCTTTTTCTTCCTGGCCTATCGGTAGCTTAGCAGTAATAAGTATTTACATGTATTAGTATTGTGCTATATAACTTTATAGCCTCTATAAATACAGAAGCAAAAATATTAACAGACTCCAATGTAAGAATAGTTGTTTATATATAGCCCTTCCAACCGGAACAACTGGATTTTTTCTTGGCCAACGCTCAAGTGGTAGATTACCGTACTAAATTATAGTATATGAATATGAGTATGATATAAAATTTATTATTTTATAATAAATAATAACAATATTATAATTAAAATTAAGTATCAATCAACTCATAACTCAACCTACTTTTTAACCTGTCTACCTAGTTAACTTAGAGAGCTTTGTCTACTTAGTTGACTTAGTACTTAGACTACTACTACTAGTCTAGACTATCTTCTTACTTCTTACTCTTACTCTTATACTTATACTACTTACTTAGTCTAAGAGATAGATAGTAACAACTACTAACTAAACTTATAAATAATAAATCTTATAATCATAAAAACAATAGCAGTGAAGACATAATTTCAAGCCAATTTCAGATAAAGTATCACGCATATTAATGTCAACTTACCACATTTCAGCGATATGCAATAGACAATTAGCTGTAATACTAATTGCATTGAACGCATCTTTAATAGCCACAAAATTTCGACACCAACTTTTTACTACCAGTTGCCAGATTTTCCACTATTTTCGTTGGAAATTTGTGGCAGTTTTACTTCTAGGATGAATTATAATTTACCACACCAATATTCTACTTTAATTTTCCTATATAATTTGTTATTTTGGAGAAAACACAACTTTCAAATGATTCGTAAACGTTGATAACGCAATTTCAGTAGCCCGGTATAGCCTAAACAATATAGATTGTTTCGACGATTTGAAGTATTCATATAAGTGCTAATAAGGGGGAGAGACCGCAATCAGGTTGGCAAAAAAGGAAATGGGCTTAATGGGTCTGAATGAATGAATTAATGAAAAGGAAATGAGTGTAAGAAGTGCCTAGTTCTTCATACAAAAATAATGATGACTATTACTATTATGCCTACAGACGAATGGATGTAATAAGTAGGCCTAAATGGTTTTTTCAGATAGTCTGATATTAATGGGACTAACAGTATTAACTCCGAAAAGTGAAATTTCAGTTTTACAATTCGGGCGTTTCATAAATTTTGTCAGCCCTTCAGTTATTCCAACTATGTGCTCATTCATTAGGCCTACGTGATAATGTGATAAGCTAAAAACATTTACATGCTGGTCATTCTATAGACCAGGATGCAGTATATGACTCATTATGACCAGCATGTAAATGTTTATGACCAGTCATATACTGCATCCTGGTCTATAGAAAGTCGTCTTGACTAAGTCTTGCCTTTGGATTAAAAATAAAACGGCAAGGACGAGAGAGTGATGCTGATAAATTGAACAACTCTCCCTCACTTTACAGCTTAAGTTTAAGTCAAGGCTATTACTCAAGTCGAAGCCTTGTTCATCTTCACGTGCGAGAGACGAACAATAATAACTTGCTGAGATTTGTGACAAGGGGAGATAATAGTTTGACGCACTGTATGGACCGGGCTTTGGTGGACCGGTGGACCGACCGGTCCTTTGGTTGACTGGTGGACAAGTTTGGAAATTGCAAAAGGGACCGGAGCCAGATTTATTATTATTATTATTATTTTAATTCGTAATTTTTTTTTACCGCAAATATTCAAGATGTGCGCACCCGGAGCGTATCATGGCGTATGGCTCGAGGTTCGGTATCGGCCCGTAGACAAAACTTTTGGAAACGCTGGCATATAATGTTTTTAAATGCATCTAGGACTTATTTCGTTTCTGGGTCATAGTTAGACTTAGTGGCAATGATGTATCTAACGGGTGCGGGGGTCGCGGACCGCACCGGGTGACACCATGCCAGGGGGGGGGGGACACCAATTGAAAAAATGCATGTTTACAGAGCACGCACCGCTCGGTCTAACCGAATTTCATATAAAGGATAACCGATCACACGTAAATTTTCCCTCGATGTAACCAATCCAAATGCGTGCTTTATTAAAAGTTCAAGGTTGATGCGTCAAAATGATTTAACGCCGATTGATGTTTTCGGAAACGGTCGTAAGTGACAGGGGGCTATATTTATCTAAATTCTGAGTAATAAAGCTTTCCATTGATACCAAATAAGATATAGTCGGGCGATTCTAAGTAGGCCTACAGAATCGAATCGGTAAAAAAGTAAAAACATTAAAAAGTGACTTTTTACCAATTTATAAGGTGAACAAAATAATATTTTACTAAAATGTTCTAATATCTTTTAATAATTAATGTAAATGTACAATTTTTTAAATTAAATTAATTAAATTAAAAAAATATATATTTAAAAAATGTTTTTTAATCTAAAAATATCGAACCCCCCCCCCCCCAACCCCAATTAAAAAAAAACAAAAAAAAAAAAACCTCAAAAATTAATATTTTCGGCGAGTCGTTCCCCCCCCATCCCCAATTAAAAAAAAAACAAAAAAAAAAAAACCTCAAAAATTAATATTTTCGGCGAGTCGTCACTAGCATCGCCCCTAACATTTGAGCACGATTTTCATAAAGCACAATATCTTTTATACGATGTCTTTAATTTCACGTTTATCTGCTACCTTTACATTTGGGCTGATCTACTTGAGGCAGATAATCTTCAAAATAAAGGCTTTACTTTTGACAAAATGTTGACCAACCTGGAGACCTTAATATTGTTTCTGTACGAGGAGCGCTATCACTTGGTGGAACATGCTATTGAAATGATCTTTATAAAATCAGACAAACTTCAAATTTCGGTAGAGGGAAGACTAAGGTTCAAGAAGAGAATCGTAGGAGAACAATTAAGAGATGCTGGACCCTCTCTGCAAGAAGAAAACAGTAGGGAGATGCTGGAGTGTATAGATCGCTTTCATTATGAACCCCAGCTCAGATCATAAGCGATCAAGGAAATAGCATATGTTTGGGGGTGTTCAACCCAAAAGTCTACTATCAGCAAGTGAAGAAGAGTTATTGGTGTCCGTTCCAAATTTAAAAAAAATTATCAGGATTATCAGAAGATGAATTTTAAAAATAAATACCAAGGCTTAGAAGACACCTAAAGGCAGCTGCTATTGGATATCTCAAAGTCATGGACTGGCCAGTATTAGATGTTTTGAAATTCGTAGCTGAATGGGACTTCCTAGAATCTCTTCCAATACTCTCGCTAAGCCTTAAATTGTTTCTTACGATATGTGTGTCTGTAGCATCATGTGTGTGGAGCTTTTCAAAATTAAGGCTTAATTATCAAGAACTATTTACTATCTACAATGGGAGGGTAAAGGCTTTCTGATCTGGCTCTAATATCATTTATCATTTGAAAGTGATACGGCAAATGATATTGATTTTGATCAAGCGATTGACAGGTTTGCAGCTTGAAGACCAGGAAAGGAAAAATTAAAATAAAGTAAATGTAATGTAAAAATAACTATAACTTAACGTTGTTATAGTTCTTAAATAAATTTAACTCCTGACCTTTAATTAATTTGCTTTTGTACTTGTCATTTTAACAAGAAGAAATCCATCGTGGAAGTCGGGGAGGGGTGGGGGTGGTGGTGACACCATGAGTAGGCCTATACCGCACCGGATGCTTATACGCATCTGTATGCAATCGACTTAAAAGCTGAATATACATTAAACTTATATTCCCAATCTTCCACAACCGTGATGATTATTTTGGCGCGCAGACTTAGCACGAAATATAGAAAAGCTCCAAGTTATCACTATAACTAGGAATAGGCCTACACATAGAAATTCGCTTTATTCGCCATTAAATGAACCTGTCGTTTTATCAGAATTTTAAATAGGTCTAGTGACAATATTCATTGAATTTACTTAGGTATAATCATTGTTTCCTCATAATGGGCATGCTATAATTTATCCAATATAAGCATTAATATCCTACCCACATTCCACATGTGATGTCATGTGACATGTGGCCGCCAGGATGCCTCTGAATTTATAATTAAAGCAACACTCACAATTCCTCAATGTGAGTCATTCTCACACTATCCTGAAAATAAAGTTTTTTCTTTCTTTTTTTTCTCTCCATTAATTCTCTTTACGTTTATTCTTTTCCTTTTACGTTCAATCATACATTTGTAATAATAGACTTATAAAAATAAATATGTTTGTTTCAGCGAAAGGAACAACTTTTTAATTTATGGCAATCTTGTCGAAGGAAAACAAAAAAGTAGGCGCGTGGAGTAAATTTGATGTTGAACACGAGTTGTTTATCTCTAAAATTTTTTAAAAGGTTGTAGTTGTGTTACAGGCTGATCATAATTATGCTTATACTACTATTGTGCAAGTGAAAACTAAAACTCAGAAAAATATTCTTTTTTATTCAGCTTATGGCTCTAACTGACTATTACATTTTAAAAACGCTAAAAAAAATTAATCAACCCGTCGGGGATGGGGGTCAGTGGTTGTCTCGCTCTACAAATTTTGAATTACGCCATGGTCCAAAATTTCCATGTCCATATACTTCTTTGGCGGATTGGTGGAAACATTTCAAAATTGCACCAATGCAATGGGTGCCAGATTTATTAATTATATTTTCTGTTTATTTGACCCAAAACATTCAACGTCCTCGTTAGGCTCGCGGACAGTTGTTGCAATCTGCCGCCCCAACAAAATGCCAACATTGCCAATTCAATGTGGCATGTGGGGAAAATTTTCACCGACTAACTTCTATAACACTGTCACTAGTTTAGACAATACTTTCTCCAACAAAATAATTATGTGCAGGTGACATAATTTTGTAACTATATTTTTCCACAAATTACTAACTTGACTTTGACTCAGTAAATTAACGTCTCTCCAGAAGTAGGCACTTTTTGTTTTCAGTTTTCAAAATATGGCAACCACCACTTTTTAATTCACCAAGGTTATCGAATATCGTTGTTTAGACATTTTTACCAAAGTCAAAGTGCCAAGCAGAAGATTCTTATTTTCAATTTATATGTGTTTACTTGATGCGTCTTTTTTTTTTTTAAACCGGAGCTCATCTTGGTATTGGGGTATCAGCAAGGATGTGTCTCAGTCTCTTTTTTCATGTCTTTTGAACCTTTCAATTTGAATTAAAATTAATGGAGAATTTTTATTTTAATATATTGGCCTATGCCTATAATATTATAATAGTGTCTACAACTCCGGCGCGCCGGACAAATAGTGCGCGAGATATACGTCTGGCGGCATGTCACGTGATCGCCAGACGGCTAGTAGTTGTTATTATTCTGAACGAAGTGCAATTAGGCAGATATTGTGTGGTCTTGTGGTAGAGTGGTCGCTTGACGTTATTATGATTTGAGGATCAATACCTGGTATAGGATCGTTTTTTTCCCCATTTTAATTTAAAATATTTTATACTATATTTATATTATCATGTTCATCAGCAATAGTAGTTTCATGAGAAGTTTTTAAATAGCTTGTAGCAATTGAAAGAATTTAAAATGAACTCTTTTACTTTTATTGGTTGCCTACTCCATACTGGCCCCTGCCCTAATTTATTTTATAGATTACTGGTACACAAACTCAAATAACAAACTAAACAAAAATGTTTACAAGCCACTTTCACTTCAGTTTTTTTCCTAACATTGGCATTCAAGATACTCATTACATTACTTGGTAGAGAAATAGATTTTAAAATTAACAATAGTTTTGAATCATTCGCAGTCACATGACAAGGCTGGCCGACATGATATCTCACGCCACTTTGTTACGGCGGTCATGTGACTTGGTCGCCAGACTAATAGTGTGGGAGATATATGTCCGGCGCGCAGGACGTGTAGACACGGCCATTATAATTATATACTTCATATTAACTATATTAGATTGTTGGATCTATATTTATGACATAAGTAATGCTAAGTGAAGAATGGTAGCGTTATTGCAGTTATCACACACATCAGGTCCAAAACTGTCTGGCTTTTTAAAATCACATTAAGAAGGCAATTTATTTTTGTTACTGTCTGGCATGCTTTATTCTTTATATACAATTAATGATTAGTGACTTTTTACTTTTATTTTAATTAAATAATTAAAATCAAATGTGGCTGTAATGTTAATTTAATTTTTTTGTAAGTGAAAAGTTCTGAAAATACATTGGTGCCTCATAGGGCCTATCAGGTTTTAAAATGATGAAAGATTATTACAAAATTTTAGGCCTTTGAAAAATTATTTTTGAAATTATTTTTTTTAACCAGACTTTTAAAATTAGGCCTAGACTAGACCAATGGCCAAGGTGTAGGCCTAAGGCTAAGCATGTGTTACTATATTTCACTGTTGATCAGACAGCTGATTTAAAGTAACGGTGGGCTTTTCTGGGGACGTGAATATTGTATTGGGGAAAAGGGCATTAATTTAATTAGAAACTGACAATGCCATTATTTTTTAATTGATAATTTGAAAGTGTGAATCTGAAGGATAAGCTATAATATTAACATTATGACAAGTTTACAAGTTTTAAAAACTTTAAGTTAACTATTCGATATTCCATAATCAGAATAGAATATTATGAGAAATATCAGATATGGAAAAAGTATGAATGTCCTTTTAATATACTTATAAATCTAAAGAAATCCTTAAAAAATAAAAGAGAAGAAAAAAAATAGATGTACATTTTTAAAAATCTGATTTAAATTTTCTAAAAAGCCATTTTAAATTTTAAAAAAATTCAACTTTAAAAAAATTCTTAAAAAAAAAAATAAAGTTTAACTTTTAAAAATTGATTTAAATACTGATACCGTTAACTATACTATGTTTATTTTTGTTATAAACATTAATTTATGTAAAAATCTAAACCAATCCTAAAAAAAAAAAGAATAATTTAAAAAATCCAGTTTACATCAAATAAATCCCATGTACATCAAATAAATCAAATTTTAATATTTTTTTTTTCAACCATGGCCCAGAACATACAGTTGATCAGTGGAGCCTTATCATTCATGACTTAGATTACGTTAGGGGCTGTTCGCAAATTATGTCACACATGGGGTGGGGTGGGGGTGTTCAAGAATTAGTGACCGGGGGGGGGATTGTGACGTCACAAAAAAAAATAAAAAAATTTTCTGATGTTGAAAAATCTTTATTCAATTAATTTAAAAGCATTAATTTGAGATCAAAATAGCCTCTGGTATTATAGGTACCGTGAAACTCAGTGGCGGTCACCTTCTGCGCATGTTGAAAAATGGTGCAAAAAATGTTGTGGCCATTTTACATTAGTTTTCAAATAATACAACATTTTAATCACTTGTGGGAAAATGTTAAAGACTAAAATAAAATCCTAGTTTATTTGTGAAAATTTTGTGTATGTTTTGAATTTTTTTAGATGTGACGTGACCTGAAAATGTCTTTTTTGCCTGAAATAATTTGCGAACGAGCCTTCAGTTGGGATTATCTAAATTTTATTTTGTTCACAGACTTCTAATAGTGAAAGCCTATACAAGTCAACATGTCTGAACTCAGTTGCAATGGAGATGCAGAACAGACAAAAAAATTACATGAAAAAGTTGTCAAGCAGATAGAGGTACCATTTCAGAATAGTTTTTAAATACCCGTAGATGTTGAATGGTTATTTTGACTAAATATACAAATACAATTAGAAGTTGTAGACAAATAAGTTAGATTTAGAAAAGCTTGCTATTTGGAAAAATTTTCTATATTAGAATTGTGTTCCCCTTATCAAGCTTGGGTAATCTACCACTTGAGCGTCGGCCAAGAAAAAATCCAGCTGTTCCGGTTGGAAGGACTATTTAAACAACTATTCTTATATTATTTTTAATGACAGTGGTTGTACATATTCATTCCCATAATAATAGACAATTTTTTTTAAATAGAAAAACTATAACAATTTTTTTGAAATAGAAGATAATGTGTGAAAATGGAATTATGCATAGTTATCCCACAAGTTGACTATGAAGTTTAAAAAAATATAATTTCCACAAAAACGGTTGTGGTACATGAATCCACCGGCACTTCTTGTGCCAAACTGTCTTTTCAGTTTATGCTTTCTGAGCATTCACGTTATCCACATTTTGTGTGTGGACATCCGCGTCATCTGAATAAAAAAAAATAATTGTGTCTCTTTTTCTTCCTGGCATATCTTTTGCTTGGCAATAATAAGTATTTAAATGTATTAGTATTGTGCTATATAACTTTATAGCCTCTATACGGAAGCAAAAATATTAACAGACTCCAATGTAAGAATAGTTGTTTATATAGCCCTTCCAACCGGAACAACTGGATTTTTTCTTGGCCGACGCTCAAGTGGTAGATTACCCAAGCTTGTAATATCAGAGGATTTTTTTTATTTAACAAGATAGTATTGTATAGATGGAATATTTTTTATTTTGCAGTACTATTTTGGAGACATGAATCTCATGAGAGATAAATTCATGAAGGAGAAAATACAAGAAGATGATGGCTGTATCCTTTATTTAACTTTTAAAAAAAACTTTGCATTTGTAGAATTTGCACTAAACATCACAAGTGACTATCTTCTGTCAAAATTTAATTCCCATCTTTAAGAGTTCTAAACCACAAGGTTGTAGTACTCAAAGAAAGTATCTCTTAATTATTATTTTTAATTGCATCCAGCAGTTTATTAGCAAGTAAAAACTCATTTAAACATAAAAAGAGTGGAACAAAATTGTATTCCTTTACTTCAATAAAAAAATCAGGGATTACAATAGAGACCATGTTGAAATTCAACAGGCTGAAGCAACTGACTGCAGAGCCAAAAGTCATTTGTGAAGCATTGAAACAATTAAGCTCACTAATGGAGGTAATCTTGTGTTGTTTTAAAAAAAATTTATTTAACAACTCACCATATCATATGCCGGCCTATTTCTCATAAAAGTATGCACCTTTAATAAAATTGTAACTTCAATAACATAAATAGATAATAGATTCTTGTACCCAAAAACAAAATTGATTTATATGTAGAGGGATATATTAGAATGTGAGGTTTTGTGATATATGATGGCTCATTTTTGAGCTTCAGAAATACTTAAAAATATCTTACTTTTTACTTTGCTATTTAAAAATTGTCATGGTCAAATGTTGATTCCAATGCTGAAATTAATATGTACTATTTAATCAAAACATGTTTTCATTTATTTGTGAAATGAGAAAAGAATCTTATTTTACGATAAACTTGAACATGATTATTATCTTAGGTTAGTGAAAATGGAGAGAAAATCCGCCGGAATCCTTCTAAGCCTTTACCAGGTGACACTAAAGAGAGGCGTGATGAGATTGCGTCCAGATCTATTTATGCAGTAAGAATAAAACTTTTTCCATTTCAATATTTACACTAAACATGAGGAACATTTGCTTCCCCCTCTGTATTTTTGTGTGTTCAAATACCCCATTACCAAATATCTTGCTGTATTATAAATTGTTGATATTTCACAATTTTTCATGCTTAAAACAACCTTTCACCTTTTGTAAAGAAATTTGTATTCTTTGGGCTTAGAAATTCACAAATGACGATTTCATATTTTAACAACACTTTTCACAAATGATGATTTCAGATTTTAACAACACTTTTTCTATTCTAAATGTTTTGAACTAAATATATTCACCCATCAGTGAACACATTTTGAAAGTTTGATCACAAGCCAAATGTTAAGGACTTGCACAAATATATGAAATAATTTAGCCAAATTGTCATATCTTTGTATGACCTTAGTACTTGTGTGTCATCTCCCAGAAAGGATTCCCTCTTGACTCCACACTAGATGACTTAATGGCTTTCTTTGAAAAGTATGGATCTGTTGAAAATGTCTACTTGAAGAGAGATTTTACCAAAAAGACTTTTAAAGGATCAGTTTTTGTAGTTTTCAACCAGAAAGAGGATGCAGAAAAATTTATCAAAGAAGAGGAGACCAAATACAATGATGTTTTGCTGGCGTCAAAATTATTCAAGTAATTTTTTTTATATGTAGTCTTCTAATTACAGGTCACTTTTTAAGCTTGGTAAAGGTTTATTACAGTTATGACATAAAATAACGAATAACTTATACTTTTGGTTTTCCACTTTTCTAAGTTACATCAGCTTATCCAAATTACTTAAAAATATTACATTATTCTTGCTATTTTGACAAATTTATAAGCTAGGTTATAAATGAAACCCTGAGATTTTGCTTAAATTAAAAGACTTAATATTAATTGTGAAAATGTTTTATTTTCAGGACAGACTACTTCAAAGAAAAGCAAAACTTGAAGAAGGGCAGAGGATCAAAAAAAGATGAAAAGAGGTAGCTAATTAATGCATTTGGCATTTTCCTTCCTAAGCATTTACATTTTTCAGTTCTTTTCTTAGTTCTTAAAAAATTAAAAGTTGCCCATTTGATGTTGTAATTTTAATGTGTATTAATAGATTGAGCCCTGGTAACCTAGTAAGAGCATTTTTGATATTAATTTGTATGGATTCTATTGATATATTGTTTCTACATTACAGTAAAGAGGTGGGAGAAAAGGAGGACAACAAGGAAGAAAAAGATGATGAGAATGAGGTACTTTTAGTTTTGTCCTTTTTAAATTTTATTCCCTTAAGGCTTATCACTCTTTCTTGTATCCTTTGGTCTAGCAATAAACAATCCTGAATCAGCCATGCATTTTGTGACCAGCGTGATAACTGTCAAGATCATGGGTGAATGTTTTATTGCAGTGAGCTCTCATTATTGATATCTAGGTCAATGGGTTGACTAATGTATTATTATTAAATAGGTCGGATGAGCTACTGTGAACTAGGGGTGTGCCGGAATCCGGTCCGTAATCCGGTTCCGCCGGATTTTGCACTATCCGGTGAAATCCGGTTCCGCCGGATTTACATGTATCCGGAACAACCGGAATCCGGAATATACCGGATTTCGGAATTTGCCAGATTTTGTGACTCACCGGATCATAATCTGAAATAAAAGTAATTCTCTTTCCCGAATTCCACACGATCACGATACATTAATCGATTGTTTCGAGCGTTGAGCTTGTTTAATGTTTAATATTCCGTACATACCAGAGGCTAGAGTCAGCACCGCTAATAGTGGCCAATAGTGTAGGGACTTTGATAAGAAAATTTAAACTTTTTGTAAAAATAAACCAATGGCATAGTTGAAAAGATGTAATTTTTTAAAGAATTATAACACCAAAATCATATTTTTAGCTGTTGTAGTTTTAAAGTTATGAATTTTTAAAGTACGACTTGGTTTGTCATTTTTTAACATGGACTGCATCTCCACATTCTGTGATCTCATTCCACCAATCCCGTCATGCGCAATGACTATATAGTTTATATAAGGCAACGCATTCCCTGCCTTATCACTAAAATACTGTTTAGACTTAGTTTAAACTTTCAACTTTGGCACATGAATAATTAATTAAAGCTTTCCCTGACCAATGGTTTAATAGTTTTTGCACACGGCAAACTCTTATCAATGAAACTCTGAGATAGTACTACGATATAGCCATTATGCAAGTGGCTGAATGGTTGCCAATGACAACGTGTTGCACACGGTAAATTCTGATCATTTATAATATGGATTCTACCGGGTTGTTAAAGCTCAAATTAAAACATTCCAGTTTAAATGTCTTTAAATGCATTCTGAAACACAAGTTATCAATTATTTTGATGTAAATAGTGATAATAAATTAATATTTCCTAAGTATCGTCAACTTCCGCCATTAAAAAGGGGGGCGTGGCCAACCCCATGGCGAAATTAGGTTGAGCGAGCTGCATAACCTGCTGCGAACGCGTAGAAACATGGCGTCTCTCGTAAGACACTTATCCAAATGGAACGGAACTCAAATATATATCGAAAGTACTAATTTAATAATAAATAGACACACACATCGGAAAATTAAAAACTCGGATTTTTTGGCGCCGATTGCGGATCCCATACACAAAAAGTAGTAGTCCACCTTGACTTACCGAAGTATCTACCAATAGTACCAAAATCCGGAATCCGGGAGAAACCGGAATCCGGATTATTCCGGAATCCGAATCCGGATCCGGCGGATTTCGCATAAGAAAATCCGGATCCGGTTGGAAAAAACGGATCCGGCACACCCCTACTGTGAACTGCTGTAATTAAATGGAATAAAATTATGTCTCAAGGATGTATGCACGCATTGGTTGAAAGATGTTAGGCAATGCATAATATTAAATAGTTTAAGCCAGCTGTTAAAATTACAATCATGGAAAGTCCATGTTCCAAGGATGTTTGGGTCCATTGGTTGTGAAAGGCTGTGTGGTGTGTGGGTGTTTTAAAATGAGTGGATATATATACTGGTTATGAGTCAATGGGCTCATACTGGGTATGAGTCAGGAGCTTGAGGTTATTGAACCTGTTGTGTATTTGATTAGAGAGGAAGTCATTTTAGCAGTAGGTAGTTCTGTGAAGAAAGCTATCTTTTTTCATGTATGGTCACTATTGTGATCTGATATACAGTGTAAATAAACTCTTCAAGCTTATTAACTTGGCGTTGGAGTTTTAATTGATGCGCGTCGACCCAATCACACTGCATCTATCACTCAAGCACTTAGTAACAACCAGAAATCTAATAATAGCTCGACAACAGCATACAACAAATATTTGACAGGCTAACACAAATAACTAATAAATGAAACTATCAAAAGAAGCAATGCCTTAGTAAAGTTTTTCATACAAGGTGGGTTTTTTAAAAATGTTTGCATAATATTGACATTAGTAGATAAATATTGTGCATCTTTTGAAGCTAAGGCAAAAAAACTGCAGGTAGGTAGGAGGATAAATAGGTGCTTATATTTATAAAAATTTGATTGAAGACTGACGCTCAAGCAAAGAGCTGTAAAGGAGGGTTTTCACATATTTTCTTGAGAGTGCCTTAAAGGAAAATTTAATGTTAAAACATCACTATTTTAAATTTCCAAGACAGCCATCATCAACCTAAATAGCCTTGGACACATGGAATACTTTACGAGCTGAGGGCAGGTCTCATAAAAAATATTTATGTCCACATATTTTAACACAGACAGCTTAACTGATTAACTACCAGATTGAAAAACCTGCTGTGGCCGAATTAAATCTAGGTCACAATTTCTCATTTTAGGTGTATGTACCCATTCAGCTGCAGTTTTATTAACTATAAGCATATTCTAATGATTAATAAAACATTTGTAGGTAATTGAATTGTCTATAAGATAAACATAAAATATTTGTAAAGTTAAGTTTTGTTAGGAATTTATTAATTGTTAAATTAGTATTTACAACAGAAAAACAATTTAAAAAATTCATAAAAATGCAAACTTGTGTATAAATTTTACATTTCCAAATCATTATAAACCTTTTATTTCAAGTTTCCACATAGTATATCCAATAAGAAAAATGCACCAAAGAACACAGAAATTAAATAATATTTACACTTCCAATCTTCCAATCACTTACATGCCTTCAGTAACCCTGTCACTTGTTGCCATAGTAAACAAGTAGTACAATTTTGTAATTAATTGACAGCTTGTTTTTAAAACATTCTGCTGATAGTATGCGGTTCGAATGTAAACATCCTGTAGGTAAATGAAAATCTCAAAAGGTAAAAGCAAAACGGAACGGAATAATATAAATATTTGACTCGATTTACTACGATACAAACATTGGCGCTACCAGCGGCTCGTGGTCATAACGGAAGAAACGCAGAGCCGTGGGAGCAGCTCATGGTAGTTAACCAGTTAAAGGTGAAACCTTTCCCATGTAGAGAATTTAGATTTTAGAAAATCATGTGAAGATATTTTTTCTGTTTCTAATATTAACATATTTTTTCCTCTCCTTTTATTAGAAAACTAAACAACAAATGACAAAAAATGCAGTTATACATCTTAAAGGAATGAATCCGGAGACCAACAGAGAAGAAATCAAGCAATTCTTTGCCCCACATGGTGATGTTGGCTGGGTTGACTTTGACAAAGGAGTAACAGAGGTACTTAATTCAACACATCTGTTTTTTCTTGAATTCTGACATCGTCAATTTGTATGCACATGGTACCATACTACCTTGATTTATGGTATAAAAGTTTATTAGCAGACTTACTTTGGTTAAATAAATACTTAGTCTATCATTTTTTGAAAAAAAGGAAAAGTTTGTTACATGAATTTCTTTGTATTAGGGTTATCTACGACTCAGGGAGCCAAACAGTGCTGCTCCAACACTTGAAAAAGCCAAAGCGGCTGGAGATGGAAAAATTATAATTCATGAGACTGAAATTGAAGTCAGAGTTGTTGAAGGTGAGGCTTTCCTTTATTAATCTGTAAGGCTCTGTTCATTTTCGAAGGTTGTTCTTTTTAAAAGTATTTAAAATATTATATTTAAATACTTATAAATACTTATAATGTGAATGGAATATGTTTTATATTGCAAACTCCCATTTATTTCTCCCGGTCCCAGCAGAGGCTTTTCGCTTGATGTTAGCATCTCAGTTTTTTTGCCAGTTAAATATGTTCTAAAAGTTTAAAATCTAGATGAAAATCTCCTGTTTATTAAAATAGTTTTAACAGAATAAACACATAAACATCAATTTTTTATTTTTTTTTTAGAGATTTCAATAAAGTAATAACCTAAATAAAAACATTTATTGTTTAAATGTTGTAAACCTTTTTATTCAGCTCTAAGCTGAAATGTTCACATATTATTGTCCGACTTTTGATACAAGCAGCGACATACCTTGTTCAATTTTATTCAGCTTGTATGTTCCATTCATTCATTAGCTGTTTTTAAAGTTACAGACGGATTAGATATTTTACTGTACTCTATATTTTTCTAAATAGTATTTTATTATAATTCCCTAAAATACTTTAAAATATTTTACAGATGATTGCTTGCACTTTAACCCACGAACTGTGGCATGCATTATTCTGTAGTGTGGAGCTTTTCAAAGCGTTTTGAGTGCCATTTGAAATTGCATTAAATGACATAGAAATATTGATACAAGACCCCAATAAGTATATATTTTTAGAAAGGTAAATGGGTGGGGATAAAGTTGGCCGTATTGCCCACCCCGTGAAAAAAAAGTTTGCGAAGTGTTGTTGACCTTGGAGTTCTTAAGAAGAAAAAAATTGACAAAATGTCTTGCTTTCAAGTGCTCATAACATCATTAATTTTTATAGATACACTTAAAACACAAATCTAAATGTTGTAGCCAATTCATTTATCTTTCAGAAAATGTATAGTTTGCTAAGGTTTTGATTGCAATTAAACCTCTGAAAGCAATTTTGGTAAATTTAGGTCATTTCTATAAGAAACTGGGACCACTGCTAAAACCAAGTAAAAAATACAAAGTCTCAGGCAAAATAGTTATTAGTGACTAGTAAACATTTAAAAAGGAACTATGGAACTGATTTGGGTTGTTTAACTATAAAATTTATTAGTTCTGAACAATAATCTGTAGCTTCTGTGAATAAAATTCAGTCCGTCCTTGCCTAACCTCTGGACCTGGCTCGAAGTCTAACAGTAGCCTCAGTAGACCTACTTCAGTATCACTAAGACTTAGTGTAAAATTCACTAGAAGAATAATCTCAACTGATATCGTCATGGGGAATGTTAAAATCATCACCAGTATCACTTAAAACCTCTCCTAAAAAGCTTTCAAACTTTTATTTTTATTACTCCTTGTACTTAAGGCCATGGCTTCAACCATTTTTGCTTTAAAAAAACTGCGATATAAAACTCAGATTAAAAAGTATTTAAGTTATCAAGAAACAGCTTGAACCGGAAGATGATTTAATTATTAATAAAAGGAAGTGGCTATAATTCCGGTTAAATATTGGATTGGAAGTTGCTATCGGGCCGTGTTTTTTATCGGCCGCCATAGTACAGAACGAGAATGTTGGCCGATTTTTTTTAACCGACCACAGTTGGTGGGTTAATAAATCAGTCAACTTTGCATACAGCCTTCTTGTTGTAAAATAGAAGTGTGTTGAATATTTTAAATATATTTTAGCAATGCACTCATTCGGTGAAATATTTGTGTCGTCACGACCAACCTTTCTATCCTCCCATAGGTGACGAGGAAGTAGAATATTGGAAAAAAATGTATAGAGACATTGCTGAAAAACAAGATAAAAGGAAAAAAGGGGGCGGCCGAAGTGGGGGTAGAGGAGGTGGCAGAGGTGGAAGAAATCAAAGAGGCGGACGACGCACCAGGGGTGGACCACAAGTAAGTACCCGGTACATTCAAATTGTGTGCAGTTATTACTAAAAACCAAACTGTTGGTTAATTTTCCCATGTTTTTGTTGTCACCCCATTTGCCTGTTTTTTAAAACTATATTATATTTATCCTTTTCATTTTCATGGTTTGAAATTTTTATTGTAAATCAGGGAAAGAGGAGGCAGAATAAAAAGAATGAAGGTGAAGGTGGAGACAGTGATAATGAAGAGGCAGATGATGATGATGGTAAGTTATTTAAACACAACCCACATTTGATGTCAACTCTCTCATGCCTGAATCAAGTGACATTACCCTGTTTCGAAACATGCAAGTTAGTTGGGTGGGATGTGGGTTCATCTGCTTGTTACCATACTTTACCATATTTAGTTTCATATCAAGATTATGATACCAAACTAATACTAATAGTAGTTTTATTTTTGCAGTGTGACTTCAATTAAATCCATGTAATTGTCTGATGTGTAGAAAGTATTGGAACTAAATATTTACAAAGGTGGCAACATTTCCTGTAGTAATTATTAATGTATTTCTTTTGAAAATTGTTTTTATTTGACAAGATAAGCTTAATGGCATGTTCACCTTTCTTTTTTTTTTTTAAGAGCCAAGAACCAAGGTGTCCAAAACTGAGGCAGACTAGAGGATTTGTAAATGGATACAACTTAGTGGAAGTTTGTGATTCTGAATATATGTTTGGTGTTTTTGAGGGTTCTCTCATGTGTCTTATTTATGATAATCACACGGGAGAGCAGTTGAATGGATGAGTGCATCAGTGTGTAGACATGTTTCCAAAACTTTGAAATTATAAATTGCTGTGACTTTTCATTCCCTGCAATTTATGTTGTACTTTTTGTAGAAAATTTCACATTATTTTTGGAAGAGTAGATTATTGAAGTTGCAGATTTTAAAATGTTGTTTTATTATGTTTTTATAACAAATATCAATTGGTTTCAGTCAAACATTTAAATTTTATAGAGCAAACTTTCCTCTTTTTAGTTACATTTGCTGTTGATTATTTATAGGAAAGGTCTTACCAGAATTTTACATCAGTTTTAATTCTTTGTTACCGGTAATTTAAATGTACTTTCAAATTTTACTTCAAAGCTCATATTTGGTTTTTGAAGACTATTTTAAATTTTGATTTGAAAATAAAAAAAATGCATAATGATCTTCTTTTTTTTTTTTGATTTGTTCAATAACTGAAGAATCCATGACCTTTCCATATTCTTTTCACATTATAGTGGCAAAAATTTTAAGATTTTATATTTATTGAAAAATTCAAATTAAAACGTAGTGATAAACAAATATTATTTTTTTTCTATTTCATAATCAAAGAATATTGACAACAATATGTTTAACAATTAAAAGAATGGAATTTTGTTTATTTCCCAACATTTTAATTCATAACAAGCAAGCAAGATTTATTAATTATTTTTTAAATCAATAAAGTTAAAAAAGTGAATTATACTAAAACAATGAGGCTTTAAAAAAAATTAATATTTTATCTTTGAGATTAAATAAAGGGCAATAATTTTGAAACAGCACAACCATCAGTTATAAAACTGGACAAAAATTTTGAAATCAATTTTAAAACAACTGTAACTCATCATAAACAAGAATAACAATTTTATGGTAGTGAAAACAAGTCAAACAAAATAACTTGATGCCAAATGGTGTTTTACATTCGCCTGTGACTCACAGTGTGATCTAATCAAGACCATTTTGGTTACGATTGCATCAACAAAAGGAAGGCTTAAATATTGCATTTGAAATGGTTATACTTTTCATTACAAGTCAGGAAGGTGAAAAAGTACATCATAAAAAAAAACCCCAGTGTTTTTCACCTTTTCTTTTTATATTGAGGAATATTTAAATATACCCTTTAAAACATATCAGCTTGGGGCTATCTACTTTATTATTCCATCAGAAAACATTTGTACTCATCTTTGTAGTGCAGTACAAAACATTTAATTTTAGTACAATAAAATAAAAAGACAATTTTTTTTCTATATCTCTTAATGTATGTAAAGTTTGAGCATTATAAACATATCAATTTCCATAAGTCTGTCTCTATCCATCAGGAGTTTATGGCTCAACAATAATGGTGCGAGTTACAAGAAATTAACTGACATGTTCATGTCTAGTACATGTTTTGAATAGCCTGACAAGTTTATCAATACCCGGTTATTTTACATAGATCTTGATAAGAGCAACAACATCTGCGCTTCAGTGATCTGTCTGATCTGTCGTGTGGTCGGACATAAAAAAAAATAAATCTTGTTAACTCAAGTTCATGAATAGGAATCAATTACAATTGTTTCAAAAAGGACATCTAATATCTTTGAAAGATCTTATCAACAATTAATCAGTACACCAAAATAGTGGCAATGCTGATTGAAATAATACAAGTACTATACATATATTATGGCCACCGCAAGCAAAAGCTTTCTCCAAAAAAGTATACTTGGCTGCCTGTCAGGTTCACCCTCTGCATGACCCTGCCTGTAGTAATATACTAACTGTTAATAGCATTACATCCAGTACCGGTAGTTTGAGAATGCTTATTTGATGTGAATTTTGGTGCCAAAAAAACTTGTATGAAGGTACTCCCTGTTGTATACCCTGATGCATTAAATATAGAATTTAGAATGAAACATTGGACCCTCCCTGAATGTTTTAAAATTCGTAGGAATATATATCACATCTAAAAAGTTTAAGCAAGTTAAAAACTTTGTGCTTGATTTCCCCGATATTTAAGAATCTACCTGTACTTGGAACTGTATATGCAACTATAAACAAAAGTGAAGACAGTGTTAATTAGGTTGTGAGATAAAAATGATGCTGGCGTCATGACATCTGTGGAGTTTTGAATCTGTCTCTTAAATCATGCAAAGAAGTATGGAACAATATTAAACTCTTTGCTTATTATTAATATTATGACTAAATAGGATCATTCATATTATGCCTTTGATATAACTTGTGGGTGTATATCTAAAACATGCTAAGATAATACAATTGATTTTGAACAGCTAATAGAATGTAACAAGATTAAATTATTTTCAATTAGTGTACTACATGGCTTTAAAAATATACTCACCGATATCAATAAGTCCTCTCTAGCTATAATCCACTGACCAGGATCTAGTCCCATCAAACAATATTTCCTCAGAGTAGACTGTGACAATTTAAAAAAAAATATGTTTTTTACTCATCTTGAGAACGTTACTGCACTATTCAATAGGAAGAGGGACAAACTTGTAACACAGATTCATTTTTATAATAAAGACTGCAAAATATATTCACTACCATACCAGTATTAGTACTACAGTACAACAGAGAACCTGACAGGCAAAGATGTACCGGGTACTAAAGAAGGAATTGGAGAAGATTGCTACAGACTGCCGGAGCCATTTCTGTGCCCCACCCCCTCCCTCTTTCTTTCCCATTGGCAGCAGAGACTGGAGACTTTTTTAAAGATTGTCAAAATAGTCAGATATATAAATTACAATGTTTAAAAAAAAATAAATGATGTAATCAATGTAATTGACTAAATAAGATGTGCTTGAAACTTATTTTTCCATTTGCAACATGCTTAGTTTTTATGTATGTGATATAATGTTAATAGCCTCAATGAGATAAGGTAATAAGTTGAATAAAGAGGATCTCTGTGTGCATAGAAAGAGCTAAGTAGAAGAAATCCGTTTCTGAACAGGTGGGCATTTTTTAAATCTTTGGTGGCGGTAACAGAAATGATTTTAAAATTATTTACATTGGGGGGGGGGAGATGAGGCAAGACTATAAGGCCGATTGCCTTATTACAAAATCACAGACCGATTGCATTAAACAATATTGTTGGCTACTTTTCTCAGAATAAATATAAGGATTTAGAAATCGTTAATTAGGTCTTATTACTAAAATAAAATTAATTTGAAAAGCAACAAAACTGTTTAATATTGGGTATTTCAAGAAAATACTAGAAGTAGCTTTAATTAATAACACTAATAATTTTCTTCTTCCTTGCTTAAAAACAACACTTAACCAAATTAAATTAAGACATCAATAAACATTTGTAATTTATTCAAGAAATAGAAAGGGTTAATACAAAATATTGTTAAAGAAAATGTGAAAACATATAGATTCAGAGCTGGTCTCCCAATTATTCACTATGAAGCAGGTGAGTGGAAGTCAGAGGCCTATCTCTCATGTAACAGGATGGCAAATATATTATTAGGTTCCCTGAAATATAGCGGGGGGGGGGGTGTGTTTGTTGGTGGGGGGTGGGGGGGGGGGGGGGTGGGGGGGTTGTCAGTAAATCTGCAGGCCGAATCCAGACAGCTCATCCTCTATTTGCAGCAGGAAGTTGTGAAAAAAGTTTCTCAACTTATCATGGAATGTTTTAAATTTGTGGATTTCCATTCTGTTAACTGTCATTACCTTTAAGAGCAGCTACCAAACAAACCGTTAACACCGATATAAACACTACTAAAATAAAATAGGATTGGTGTGCAGAGAAATAAACAGAATAATTTAAATTCCAAATAGATTTTTAAATGTACAAAATATTTAAATTTTACTTTTCATGTTCAATAAAAATCAATTTATTGGTACCTATTCATAGTTTATTTTTAAAAATAGTATCCACTCTAGATATTCATATTTTATAAATTAAATCTCATCAGCTCTTAACCCTCTTGAGACAGAGCCTTTCTGGGCCGCCTGGGCCAAAAAGACGGAACCCTTTTCATAAGCTTACTTTGCACAAAAAAAAAAATTTACTTATTTACTTTACAAATATAAAACTACATATATTCTTGTAGGGAATTGAAGGAACTAATATGATCTTTATGAATCAAACTGAAATTCAATATTTATGCAAATGAGATCCGGATTTACATAATTTATTCATGCACTTTAAAAAAAAACACTTAGAATAAGCTTCTTTTTTTGTAGAATTTAGGATTGTTCAAGCCTCAAAAAGTCCTAACAAAAATATCAATGAGATTCAATGTGGAAAAACTGCATAAATTATTTCCCTGGGGCTGCTTATGCCTTTTGGCATATTTCAAGGTTACATACTTTTTTAAGCAGGGATCACAAGGAAAATTTTTTAAAATATAAAATGAAAGCCGCCATTGAAATGGCAAGATAAGCAAGAAATAGGAGAAGCAATCTGATTAACTGGTACAAAGACTGACCGGCCAGCCGATCTTGAGGCTTTCATTATTGGACCGATAGATCAGCCTTTCTTCTTTTTTGCCATAACACTCTTGGCCGCTTATATCGATCGGCCCAGCCGCCTCAAGTGGGTTAATATTCATTTATAAAAACAAATAAAGGGAAACATTTTTATCTTGTTCTGCAGAATTAATACCCCTTTGAAATGCTTCATTAAAATCTGTGGGGGGCCCTGAAACTATCACAATTTATATCACAGATTTTATATAGCCCCAGCTACTAAGAATATCTTTCACAATAGCATATTTTTACTCATATGGTGTTTATGGGGTTTTTTTTGGGTAAAAGCAATGAAATACACATTGCACAAATAGGTTTTAATTCAATACAGTACAAATATCTATATGATGTATCCAAATCATCAGTGTGGTCTTGACAAAACATTTTTTAAAAAAAATCAACAAAAATAATTTGATTAGCTGGCTGTTTTTTTGTTTAAAGCAGCCATCTCCTCAACAGTGGAGTCTTATTTACAAACTTGGACTCAAAAACTCTTTTGAAAAGCCCTCTCCCTTTTGAGACGGCTTATCAGGATCATCAAGGGAGCCTGTAAAAATTAAGATTTTCTTAGCCATACCTAGTGGTTTCAAAAAAGAATAAGATTCATTGAAGTGACGATATCATGCCTACAAACTTTGGGCTTATGGCTGGGAAATTATACATCTATTTTTTAAAGAGTTATGCTGGGTCAAAAAATGTAATCTTCATAAAAATAACATTTCAGTTGGACCACTACCTCTATTGGATTCTTGGTTTTAAACAATATCTGGCATGCAATATAGACACTTACTACCACATTTGTATTCACATTTAACATTGTGTTTAGTAGAGCAAATTCTGGCATGCAATATAGACACTTACTACCACATTTGTATTCGCATTTAACATTGTGTTTAGTAGAGCAAATTATTGTGTTAAAATATAATTAGAAGTAGGCAAACAATTATATGACCTAAGAAGTGAGAGGAACT